GTGTGTGTGTGTGTGTGTGTGTGTGTGTGTGTGTGTGTGTGTGTGTGAGCTGTAGTTTCTGGCACAGCTCAGATAATCATGACGACAGAGCCTTCAGAAAGAAGCTCGTCCAAATCTCCTGCTGTTCCACCATAATGAAGCCAGCTCCGTCTCGCCGAGACACTGGAGGGTCTGACGGGCGGCCAGAGTCAGGAATTAGAAAATAAAAAGTGTAAATTTATTTTGTGGCTGTCTGCACCTGGTTAATGAAACCAGCTGCTGCAGCCAAGGAGGAAAAGTCTCAGAGCTCTGCCGTTTTGTGTACAACTAAGTATTAAATCACTTTATTTCTGCTCCTTAAACAACTGAAACCCAAAACTGACTGATTATTTTACATTGTTGCTGTATGAAGGAGATGGTCCTCCACAGGAGATGTGTTGTTTTATTTCATTAATCATCATCATTAATATCTAATAAAAGTAAATGAACAAACACATCAATGAAGAGCAGGAGACAAACTCACCTTCACATGAGCTTTATTCAGAAGTTTCAGAAGCTCTTTAACATCTCCATTCTCTGATTTTCCATCCAGATCTACAGACAACTAAAAAGAAATGAAAACAAAATGATGAAACAAATTTAATCACAAACACAAGATTTGATCTCAGACAAGAGATTAACATCATTTCTGCAGCAAAAACCAACACAAGTTCTTGCATAAAGCTTCAACAATCTGCCCAACAGGTGACTTCAGGTTGGCTCAAAGAAAAACTAGAACCAGATTTACCAACAGTTTGAATCAGTTTGTTGACCTGTGAAGACTTTAATGAACAAACCGATTCAGACATGGAGAGTTTGGTGATCGCTGGCTATTTTCATCATCACGTTCAGAATTAAGGATTTAATAATCTCTCAGGTGCTCTCCGTGGTCCTGAACCAAAGACAAACATTCAGCTGAAGATTCAAGTCCTCATCTTCATCTGATTTTATTAATTTCAGTTTGTAAAAACTTCATCAGAAATAAAGACACAGATCATCATCATCATCATCATCATCATCGTCAGTTTAGGTA